CAACAAGGATTAGTGGAGGCAACACAGACCCTGCTATTGTGAACCAGTCCACTGACAGGAGAGCTGGCACAGTGCAGGTCTTAAGTTAAGAATGGATTTCATTATTAATAGGAACTGAGAGAGAGGAAATAGAATAATGAATGAGGACAATAAAGTTATAATAAAGAACCGACCAACTGCCTGAATGGCTAGTCAGCTGATAAGTGGTAAATTATTAAATTAAAATATAATACAATTATTTACCATTAGCAATGAAAAAAAATCAAGAGATAAACAGTACAGTACTGTATATATAATTGTTATGCATGTAGACCAGACCTTATTGAACTAAGGCATAAGTGTGTTGTAAGGGAGCAAATTTGGTTATGTTGCAGTTTCAGTATTTGATATATTTGCTCATTTGTAGAGCTGTTGATTATCTTGTATTAGTATTTACTGTACTGTACTGTACAGAAAATGCAAGTTAGGTGAGGAATAAAACTGAAATTGTAATAAAATGTTTTAGTCTTGTACTGCCTTCACTTATTTAATTTACTTATATGTAGCACTTCTAAATATATTTTGTTATTTAAATACTTCACCACGTTCATGCTATTTTTTTATGATATATGTTTTAACATCCAGTATTTTTAAAACTTAGGTTTTCGTTACTTAATATTTTTGTGGAGGTTAACAAGTGTGGAGGGACAGTGGAGTCACTGTTTACCTGTGGCTCTGTGAGTGACTAAGGTGACATGTGAAGTGAGGACATGCCAGGTACTGTACAGTACACACTACACCCTCACACTACACTCTAGTACTGGACTGTATACCTCTTATAACCAGTTCTTTGTGCACTTAATATTATAAACTACAGCAATTACTTGTATGGTATTCTAGATAGAAGATAAATGTACAGGTATTAGTAACCACACACTCCTGCTGTTGACACTGCAGTAGACACAGTGGGTTATGTTTTAACGTATACAGTACCGGTAGGTTAGAAAACTACAGTAATGGGAAAGAAGACCAATGGAGGGACAATTATTTAGTTTACAGCACCATGTTATTGATGGTTTCTTTCATGGAATTTAACTTTAATATTTGTTTTCATAAATATATTGGAAATCCAGTGGAAGGTGTCTTAGAATTGTTTAAACTATTTTTTGCAAAAATAATTCTCCTAAAATTCCATGGTTGTGTAACAGTAAAATTTTACGAAAACACAATATGAACACAGAAAACAGTATTGGGCACCTATACAGTACAATATTTGGGTGCTTCTCACCATTGTTCAGTGCTACACAAATCACCCACATATAGAATGATTTTATATTTTATTTGTTTAATTTAAAGACATTTAGAGTACTGTATTACTGTACAAGTATAACCACAGAAAACACCATTGCACACCCAAACTGTATTTGAGTGATTCGTGCAGCTTTAGTTTTGTCAGTTTGTTGAAGTGATTGAGGCTATGGCCTACTAACTCTGATCTAAACTAATACAAATAATTTTTTTTCTGTAATATTTCACCTTCATTGTTTACGGTACTTAAACTAACTACTGTACAGTGTTTTTGAGACATTACATGGGAGAAAGGTTGTTCCTTACCTCACGGATAATCCGTTTCACTCCAGGAATAAAAAATTTAAGTACCCTGTAATTTGGTTCTCTTGCCTTTCTTAATGAGAAATTATCAATGCACTTCAATTGAAATAGGCATAACCAGCCCACCAACTTGGTAATACTGTACCGTGCAACACTTGTACAGGTAAACCACCAACTATACAATACTTTTCTATTAAAGAAAACTTTCATCTTGAGCAATATTGGTCATAACAAAGTAACAAAAGAATGGACCATCTGCCCAAACAATTAATAAGCTGGTACGTGATGAAATGACAAATTAAAAGTAAAATTAGAAAACTAAAAAAAAAATGAGGAATTGTAATTTTCATATTACAGTACAGTATTATTTTTGTGAAATTTGTATTCATTCTGAGCACTAATGTACTTCCCTTGCAACATTTTGTCAATGTCATTTTACATGATTACCTGACAACTGTTTTATTCACAAGACTGCTTCTCAGTAACTGTTTCATACCTATCCTAGGATGGAAGTCCGTACAGTATAGTCTCTCCTCGACTTACAACGGGGTTCCGTCCCGATGACCAGGTCGTAAGTTGAAAAGGCGAAAATAATACAGGTGTACATAGAAATTCTAAAATGGGTGTCTCTTTTTCTTCTCAGCACCACGAGAACTCTCACTTTTACACTTGCCAGCCATTTGAAAGGAATTATACCAAAAAAATTGTCTGTACACAGCGCAATCATTAACATCGGGACTCAAAAATACGTAATGTGAAAAATATTTTATACGACCATGGCCGTCGTATATCCGGGTTGTTGTAAGTTGAATATGTCATAAGTCGAAGAGAGTCTGTACTGTACTTTGTCTGTGCAGTACAGTATACTGTACATGTCAAGCCAATTACAGTATTATCTTGTATGGTGATTATACTGGAATGAATATTGTTATTATTATACTGTTATAGGATGTGTTGGGTAGGTTAGGTTAAGTATGGAAAGGTAACTGGGAAGCATTTGTCAGCAGATCAAGTGCCACAAATGGTGTTGGAAACTTGTATGTTCATCAATTTGCAGATTGTGTTCTGGGGTAATGGTTAGCCAGTGAAGTTGCACAGTCTTCACAGATTATTCCTTGAAACTGTGTCTTATAGCTCATTAACTTGGGGTTTGGATGTTGTGTTAGCAACAGCTTCTACACCTTAAGAAATTTCATGCCAAGTTGGCCCTAGTGAAGGCTATCCTTGAACATGAGAGGCACCACTATATATATGTGTGTGTGTGTGTATATGTGTGTGTGTTGTAATAAAACTCAGTATTTACCACTTACACTTTCCAAATTAAATGATCTCCCACCAATCACATTTCAGGATGCAATCATTCTGTCAAATTCTAAAATAGACATGCTAGGCCTCACCATTTACTCTAATATGTCATGGAAGCCACACATCCTCAACATTGCTAAAGCTGCTTCCCAAAAGCTGGGAATGCTACACAGATGCCATAGCTACTTCACTCCTGAGCAGTTGCTTCTTGTTTATAAGGGAGTCATTCGTCCTAACTTGGAGTATTGCTCTCATATCTGGGGTGGCTCTTCTTCTGTCCAACTGTTAGATAGGGTGAAATCAAAGGCATTTCGTCTTATTGACTCTTCTCCTTTAGTTGATAATCTCTTCCCTTTTTCTTGGCTGCAATGTTACTTCACTCTCTTTTACAGGTACTTGAATGGGCTGTGGGCTTGTAACACTCGTCTTGCTCACAGTGCCCACCGTTTCTCTCTGGATGTCGGTCACACTAGAATAACCCGTTATAGTACATCCTTCTTTCCTCACACAGCCAAACTGTGGAATGCTCTGCCTTCTTCTGTATTTCCATACTCATACAATTTGTCTCGCTTCAAAAAGCTGGTTTTCCGGCATCTTCGTGGTGTAGATTAATATAATCTTTTTCTTTTCTTTTTTTAATTTCTTTTTACTCTTATTTTTTCATCCCCGAGGCCCCGTTGTGGGTTGATGACCTGTGCCCGGGTGGGCTATTCCCCATAATAAAAAAGTGTGTGCGCACATTAATAGATACTGGCTAATTTTTTATTAATTAAAGGCTCACCTTGGGTTTCTTGCTTCATGGAGTAGGGACCTGCTGTTGTCTTTGAATTCTTATCTTATTTACCGAGCTGCTTGGTATATACTTGCTTCATGACTTTGGAAATGAATTCTCCCAACTGGTCTCTTTGAGATAAAGTGGTCCACAGATTATTGGGACGGGTTACAGACATCTGTTTTGTTTCTAGAGATTTTAGGGTAACACTGAAGAATAGTGTGATCACCCATGATGGCAATTAGGTCAGCTCTTTTGGGGTGCATGTCTGCCTGATCCTTGGAGCTTTTGTAGCACCACATTCTCCCCCTCATTTATCTGGCTCCTGATTACAGGGTCCACCTGGCTCAAATTCATGCACTAGAAATGGAGGATTGATCTTGTAGTCTTATTTTTCAGAGATCATATAGCCTAGAACCCACAGTAGGACATACAGTGCACAATAATAGTCTTGGCTATTGTCTCCAATTGTCAGACAACCTAGGACTTTCAGCAGGGCCTACAGAATTATGGCTTTACTAGAAAGTAGGAGTTTAGGATCAGTCCTCCATGGGTTTTGTGTACTGTCGGAAATTATTTAGGTCCAACATATTTAACCACATTGTAAGCAATTTTGTGATTCCTGATTTGCGTTCTGTGCATTAAATTGAATGGACTTACTGTATTCCAGGGTTCACTAGAAATTTTGATATATCACCAAAACATTCTTTAGAAAAAAAAATATTTAACAAAATATTTACTTATGCAACTCAGTGGCAGCATATATACGCACTATAGTATGCAGCTGAAGCTTACAGAATGAAGTTCCATAAGGTCAATTCTGCTATACTGTACTGTATTTCATATCACAAAAAAAACTGCTTAAGTATATTCACCTAACATATTTACTTATATTAACTTTGAGAAATACAATTGGCTTGAGTGTAGGTGGCAGTGTACAGCATGAACCCTTTATTAGTATGTAAAGATTCTGTCTAAGAATTTTTAGTAGTAAGGTGGAACCCCTTCTCAATACCTTCATCACCATGTGAAGGAATAGAAAATGGGTGCCATCATTTTAATGTATTAGTGGATGTTTCATATAGATATGTTGATTATTTTAGTCAGTACAGGCTATTTATCTTTTGCCTTTCTCAAATTTTTTGATAAATTTCTATATCAGATTAAGAAACATTTCTCATTATATTGGTAAATTTATCACTGTTAAATTCAACTTTAACCATGTGGGTAATTTGTTTTTAATTTTGATATAAACGTTAGGGACAATAAGCTTAGAGATATTAGTCATGGAGGTGTGATCTTTGTTCTAATAAATGACTTATCCTCTTTTCAGGGCAGGATGAATCAAGACCAGTTTCTTTTAAAGTGGAATAACCACCAGAATAACTTTGTTGAAGTGTTTAGCTATCTTCGTACACAGGTAAGTGGGATATGTGTTGCTGACCTGTACTCTGCTATATTTACATTAAGCTGGCTTCCCTTTGTCATTTACAGGTACAGCTCCAGTAGAACCTCACTAGTTTCCCTGTTTCCTAGTTGTAACATAGTTGAGATTAGTTTCACTTAAAATCAACTTGCTTTTGGTTCACCTATACTATACTATGCATTCAAAGTAATAGAGGCTCTAGCCTTTACAAATTAGGAAATTTTATGAGCTTCCTGTATGAGGGACACCTTCTCCTGGGGGAAAAACAAACAAAATGACTGTTCTTTTCCTTTATCCACTTAAAACAAAAGTTAAACATTTCTAAGTACAGGTATAGTGCTGTACAGCACCAGATTTAGGGTCATCAGACATAATGGCTCAAACACTGGGCAATGATGGAAAAACAAGCGGAAAATGCTTACATGATAGACCATAGACATGCACTCCATGACTGACCCATGTGAACTGACCAACATGCGTGTACTGTACTTGATTACGCTGAGGCGGGCGGTCGTATCCCATGGTGACGTGCATCGTACATATTTGTAAATGTGTCTCACATTTCTAAATTTTACTAAATGTTACGATATTTGTAACGTATTTCATAACATCAAAACGTTACAAATTAGGAGTGATTTCGAATTAGGGGACTATGAATTATTATGCTTTTTTTTTTTTTTTTACTGTAAATACAATACGTACAGATAGTTAACCGTTATCACAAATTAACATTTTGCACTTTCAATTGCTATTTAATTTTTATGCCCAAAATATTTGGTTATTGTAACCTTTTTCACAGAACTTGTAATAAAAAAATCAAATTGTATGTGCAAACATTCTAAATGCACAAATGCATCAGTTAACACACAGCTGTAAGAGGGCAAAGGCACACAACCTACATTATTCTTACAATGACCATATTACATGCTTATTGCCTTAATGCAGGGGTGTCAAACTCATGGACCTTGGGCCAAATGTGGCCCTTGGAATGGTCAGATGTGGCCCGCGGGATGACGGTAAAATTTATCAATCCGTGAAATTTGATATAAATAGATATGAAGGAAAAAATGCAGATATGATTGAGTCATTAAATTCCAAAATGATCTTTACATCATTGTGGCAATAATTGAATTTATATTGAGCTCTTAAAATTCAAAACACAAATGGAATTCTATAATAAATTGTAGCCGCAAAATAATGCACATGTATGTATATATATGTATATATATGTATATATATATATATATATATATATATATATATATATATATATATATATATATATATATATATATATATATATATATATATATATATATATATATATATATATATATATATATATATATATATATATATATATATATATATATATATATATATATATATATATATATATATATATATATATATATATATATATATATATATATATACAAGAGAAAAAGAAAACACGAAGTTCCCAAAGCTTTAGGTGTAATTCACATCTTCAGGGGTAGTACAGACTAGAGAGAGAAATACAAATCAAGGTGTATATACAGAGAAGGGTGAGACCAGGTCACAATGGTCAGGTATTGGTAATGACCCTACTAATCTTTAAATAGCACACAACGGTTGGTGGTCAGGTCAGATGGTCAGGTGACCCGGCCTTCTCACCTGGTCACAATCTTTATTACAAATGTAAACGTACGTAGGTTACTCAAATTCATATTGAATGCTTCGGTATGTTTAATAAGACTAGATTCTATGATGTTCCTACTATCAATTGAATTACATGGTAATATTGAGGAGGCATTATCCAGTCAATGCAATGCTTGTATCCTCAAATGAACAAACAGAGCATTGGATTCTGGCCTATCCTAACACTGTATTTGTGTTGTTTAATTCTAGTTGCAAGATCTTTACCTGTCTGGCCTAAGTAAAACATATTACATTCCTTGCAGGAACTTTATAAATGCAACCAATTGTGTTGGGGGAGTTGTTAATCAGAACTCCCAGCAACTGAGCAATGCTTTGTTTTGGTTTTTTGGTTTGTGTTGGGGTTTTTTTGGTTTGATATTAACAATTTATTATTAAAATAATTCAGTGAATCACCTACAGTGATTTATATATATATATATATATATATATATATATATATATATATATATATATATACACTGTATATATATATATATATATATATATATATATATATATATATATATATATATATATATATATATATATATATATATATATATATATATATATATATATATATATATATATATATATATATATATATATATATATATATATATATATATATATATATATATATATATATATATATATATATATATATATATATATATATATATATATATATATATATATATATATATATATACAATTTTACCCTTTCATAGCGTTTTACATATGTGATGCCTTGCCAAAGCTGAACTTTCACTTAACGCGGGTTTTTTCCACATATACGCGGTGAGTGTCCAAGACGCTATTTTTAGATTTGCCCCACCCGCCACCCTGCCTGACTGCCTGTTTTAGCTCATAAAATTCATACAAATTACCAGGCCAGAATATAATTTACATTGCTGGAATTCTTATAATTTGGTGATCATTTTGAATATAAACATCATATATTTTGCTTTAAACTTACAATTTTTAGATAAAAATTTTTCTCTAGGTAACTATGGTATCTTTTGTGCAAAATATATGACATTTATATTCAAAATATTCCTGGTCTTACAAGGAATCCAGCAATGTCAATTATATTATCCTAACTTTAATCTGAGGTATTATTTATTAAAATTTAGTGGATTATCCACACATCTCCCTTGGGACCCAGTTGGTAAGAGTGGGGAGGGAGGAGAGATGACCGACCATCTGTTACTGCATTAATGTGAAAATTATTATTATTTTTATTAACTGAAGATATTTGTTTTTAGCTCATAAAATTCATACAAATTACCAGGCCAGAATATAATTTACATTGCTGGAATTCTTATAATTTGGTGATCATTTTGAATATAAACATCATATATTTTGCTTTAAACTTACAATTTTTAGATAAAAATTTTTCTCTAGGTAACTATGGTATCTTTTGTGCAAAATATATGACATTTATATTCAAAATATTCCTGGTCTTACAAGGAATCCAGCAATGTCAATTATATTATCCTAACTTTAATCTGAGGTATTATTTAATACTAAATGTTAAAAACTCTGGAAGGGAGGATTGGTGGGGGGTGGGGGGAAGGGTTGGGACTGACCGCGCGGTTGGAAGAGGGGGGGAGGCAAGGTGGGGTACTTTGATTGACAGATAGTGTCGTGAAGATTATTTTTTTATTATTAACTGAAGATATTTGTTTTAGCTCATAAAATTCATACAAATTACCCGGTCAGAATATAATTTACATTGCTGGAATTCTTATAATTTGGTGATCATTTTGAATATAAACATCATATATTTTGCTTTAAACTTACAATTTTTAGATAATATTTTTTCTCTAGGTAACTATGTTATCTTTTGTGCAAAATATATGACATTTATATTCAAAATATTCCTGGTCTTACAAGGAATCCAGCAATGTCAATTATATTTTCCTAACTTTAGTTTGAGGTTATCCCACACATCTCCTTGGGACGGTTGGTGGGGGGTGGGAGGGGGGGAGGGAGGGACCGACCGACCATCTGTTAGCCGGCTGTGTAGTGTGAGAGGGGGAGGGAGTCGAGTCCATTATTTGAATGGACATTAACTTGGCGACTGTATTTCTCTATTTCTCTTAAGTATTAATTGTGTGCATGTACCATCATAAAATTAAGATGTTATTTTACTACAACATAGGTATGTGCCTTCAAAAAGTGGAGTTTGGGGGTCGGGCCGGTTTCTATTGGAATTAATCCCATATGTTCTGTTGTTCACTTAACGCGGATTTCACTTAACGTGGGACCCTCTGGGTTCAATTGACCGCGTTAAGTGGGGTACAACTGTATATATATATATATATATATATATATATATATATATATATATATATATATATATATATATATATATATATATATATATATATATATTTTATATATATATATATATATATATATATATATATATATATATATATATATATATATATATATATATATATATATATATACAGTCAACACTCACTTTTATGACTAATGTAACCCACAGAGTACATGAGGAAAGTGAGAAAGCAGAGAAAGTGAATAATAACATATAGGATTAAATGAAATAGAGACCAGCTGACACAAACTCCATGTTCTGGTAAAAATAACTATCTTATACTTAAAAATGAAATACAAGATATGTCCCTTCTGACCACTCGCTCAACTCTTCCCTCTGAGAAATTTTGGAAAACCAGGTATAGTAATAAATAATACCTCAAACTAAAGTTAGGATAATATAATTGACATTGCTGGATTCTTGTAAGACCAGGAATATTTTGAATATAAATGTCATATATTTTGCACAAATAACATATTTACTCAGATTAACATTATATCTAAAAATTTGTCTAATAAAATATATGATGTTTATAAAATGATCATCAAGTATAGAATTCTAGCAATATAAATTATATTTAAAACTAAAATAAAAATCTTCAGTTAATAAAAAATATATTCACACATGCCAGGTAAGTGGTCGCGGTCCTCCTCCCCCACCCCCCACCCCCCACCCCCACCCCCACCAACTGTCCCTACTAAATAAATGTGTGGGAATACCAGACTATTTATTTTAGTAATAAATAATAAATCAGACTAAAGTTAGGATAATATAATTGACATTGCTGGATTCCTTGTAAGACCAGGAATATTTTGAATATAAATGTCATATATTTTGCACAAAAGAAAACATATTTACTCAGGAAACATTATATCTAAAATTTGTATGTCTAATGCAAAATCTATGATGTTTATATTCAAAATGATCATCAAATTGTAAGAATTCCAGCAATGTAAATTATATTCTGGCGGATAATTGTATGAATTTTATGAGCTAAATAAAAAATTATACTTCACCGATGTAAATGCGCCCACCGCGGAATGTGAGCATCCTGGGTTCTGGCAGGGCACGTGTAGCGAATGTGAGACCGCGTAAAGTGAGGTTGACTGTATATATATACAGTTTTACCCGCTTAACGGCTTTTCACTTAACGCGTTTTCGCATACTCTGTGATGCCTTGCCAAGCTGAACTTTCACTTAACGGCGGGTTTTTCCACATATCGGCGGTGGTGTCCGAGACTTTTAGATTTGCCCACCGCCACCCTGCCTGACTGCCTGTTTTAGCTCATAAAATTCATACAAATTCAGGCAGAATATAATTTACATTGCTGGAATTCTTATAATTTGGTGATCATTTTGAATATAAACATCATATATTTTGCTTTAAACTTACAATTTTAGATAAATTTTTCTCTGGTAACTATGGTTATCTTTTGTCCAAAATATATGACATTTATATTCAAAATATTCCTGGTCTTACAAGGAATCCAGCAATGTCAATTATATTATCTAACTTTAGTTTGAGGTATTATTTATTAAAATTTGTGGTTATCCCACACATCTCCTTGGACGGTTGGTGGGGGATGGACCAACCGACCATCTGTTACCGTGTGAAGAATT